GATTCTGCAACAAATGCAAATATATTATGGGAATTGTATTAATTTCAGCGGCCCTACTGTATATATATATATATTAAGGATTTTGTCCTGCATTAGTACTGTCCGTGTTTGCTGCATTGTTGAACATTGTGTATATTGTGTATTTAAGATATATATGTATGCATATAATTTAACACCTATTGTAATAGTAGTTTCCGGAAAAGTATTGATGTCCTCTGAGGATGATCCGTAGGGATGGAAACACGTAAGGGTGATCACACTGGACGGTTGTTTTTGTCTTTGACCTTAAATATTAATATAGGTATTTTCATAAATATCATTAGAATTTCTCATAATCACTTGTTTATATTTATTCTTAAGGACCCGAAAATAAAGCATCCCATTTTTCAAAGCAGATTTTTTTAAATAAAAAACCTCGCATTAGGTTCTGGTTAATGCGGTAAGTTTGTTGGATTTTAGATTCCCACAGCGGTGATATTAAAGAGTATTCCCTGGGATACGACGCTGTATAGTCCGGTAGTTCACCGACGTTTCGGAGGTACATACTGCTTATTTCTTTTCAGACTTTAAGAGTTAACCGAGCAAATAACCAGGAAGAAGCAGGCCGCAAGCAGAACCTACTACTGTTAGGATAGCACAGTGGATCCACTCGGCTTACGTGTATATTTACACCAACTGTACGGTACGCTAATTGTGACTATGAACAGAGCCTGAAGATGGCACACATGTGCCAAAAGATTTCGTCTCAGACAGCAACCCAACGACCGTTGGTGAGGAAACATTTCAGGAAGCCATAACAAAGTCTGCCTCCTGCTTTTTCTGGCTACCTTCTTGGCATACCCTTCAATCTTAAAGAATGAGGCAGCGTGTTCCTCCGAAACGTCGGTGAACTTCAAACGAACCACGCGGTATTTTATCCCAGAAGATAGCAAGTACTCTACTAGCAAGCTTTTCTTCAGCACATTGTGTGGTATGTCTCCAGGTGATTAATTCGTCTACTGGGTTAGAGATTGTGAATATTACGCCAAGCAATAACATTGACCTCTAGGAGATGCAAGCCTGGAATCTTTGCAACAATAATTTGTCGATTTTAATTTAGTACTTATGCATATAAACATGAAATATACAGAAAACTAATAAAATGTTTTAGTATTTATGTGTATATTTTTCTAAATTATTATTGTTATAAAAATAAATTTTGTTATAACTTCTTATTTTCAAAAAGATAATTTTAAACCTTAATCCAATAGCTGACATTAAAATGCTGATATTCAAATGCAGACATTCGAATGAAACACTGAAGTGATATTGTTAAGAGCTTAAAAGATTTTCCAGAAGGCTACAGCAATACAATAAAATGTTTTGTTTTGTGAAAGTACACTAACCACTCGTCGGCCGCTCTATGGTCCTGGAGTCGACTCAGACTCTAACAGAAATGAGTACCAGGAATTAATTAAATAATTTTCCTGGGGAATAAAGCGCGGCCGGCGCGTAAGACTGACAACCTTACCGCCATCTGTGAGTCGATTGTCTAGATACTGTGGGACCCTCAAAGTCTCACAACCCTATGGGCCTTCACAGCCTGGTACAAGGATAGCTTTACTTACTTTATTTAAAAAAGTGTGCCACATCATAGAAATGTTGAAACTGTAAGATTTTAATCGAGATTCCAACTATAACCGATTGCCATATTCATGGCATGGACTATACACATTCGCAATTACTTCACTCAGACACTGTTTATAACACATGCACATCTTGTCTATTGTCTTAAAGTATATTAATATAAAATGAAGGCTTCGCATTTCCACATTTCAGAAGAATAAGGGCCTAAGTACTATCTGAAATATTATTCAATACAAATTCGTGAAATCTCACGTTTATTTTCTTTGTAAGAGCCTGAATTAAATTATACGTAAAATAATTTAGTGTTTGTTTCCTGATGTTCACAAAATATTTGTATTATTTGAGGCATTAAAATGCCTTGTTATTCTTTATATTGGTTATGAAGTTTGGCAAAAATATACGCTCCTGTACATAGTTACCAGCATCAAGTTTATTAAAATGTTTAAAGTACGAGATAGTTATTATTTCGGGCACTATAACTTAAAGGCAAACTTGCCCCCGGTGGTTAATTAGTTATGGAGATATATGATATAGTGGAGGTACAGCTCCATCTCTCTTGAACGCGGCACTAGATGGAGTTGGGTGGTCAGATTTCGCGCCTCTGTCGCCTTACTCCTGGGGAAAGACCCCTCCCCCCCGCCACAATGCCATTTGATAGGAGGTTGGTTGAGCCCTAGAGCCGGTCTGGACACAATTACTTATAAATTGAAACAAATAAAACTTCGTACACATTTCATGTGACATTATTCTAAAAACTGTAGAAAAGAAATGTGTTAATATGCTTCAGTGTTAATAGTGTGAATTTAGTTGTATAAGAATAACAAATGCTACCGTCTTACCACAACTCTCTGTCTTACATCTATGGCTCTGTTCGCTAAATTTGTTCAAACTACACTAAGCCCAGAGTTTCCTGTTAAGTTCGCTTATCCCTGGGACGGACAGCCTCTGTGATCTAGTGGTCATAATTCCTGGCTACATATCCAGAGGTCTCGGGTTCGATTCCCGACGCTACCAGATTTTCTGAGAAGTAGTGAGTCTGGAACGGGGTCCACTCGGCTTCGTGAGGATAACTGAGGAGCTGTTTCAAGGAAATAGCGGCTCCGGTCTAGAAGACCGAGATTAACGGCCGTGGGAATCCGTTGCGCTGACCACGTGACACCCTCTATCCGCAAAAGTTGGCATTAGCTTCGCCGACAAGGGCGGTCGCTCGGTTGGTATAGTTCGCTTGCGGACTACAGGCCACGCAGTTGCTTTTTGTTTATCCCTGACAGACGAATCCTATATTTATGGGGAGAAATTGATTCAGTAAAGTTTAACAAGCAGCCGTCAATATTTCTGCCTTAAGAGACAAAAATAAACACTGAACCCGGTTTATTGTTTGTTTATTTGTTTGCCCATGTGTTTGTTGTTTCATTAGATACTCGTTTCCTGGTTTATTTATAGATGTTTCTTGAACTTCACGGGGGCACACCGTAGCGTAGTTGGTTGAGCCACTATCCTACAAGCCGGAATATCGCGGGTTCGAGTCCCGATGAAGTGGATTTTTTCTCAATATACCTAATCCTTCCATCCGCACTGTGTCCCTGGGGTTAACTCAGCCTCTAACAGAAATGAGTACCAGGAATCTTCCTGGGGGTAAAGGGCGGCAAGCGGGTACGGCTGACCTTACTGCCATCTGTGAGCCGATTGTCCAAGTCATGTGGGAGCCTCTATGTCTCACAACCCTGTGGCCTCCATGGCCTGTTACAGGGATAGCTTCATCTAACAGAGTTTTAAGGTCCGGTCTTACCTTCAGTGGGCGAATTCAATAACATGTCTGGTATGGAGATGTTGGTTCCCATTCCATGGTGAAAATACAACGTAGTGATTTCTAATGATGACGTGAGGATCCGTCTAATTGTCTGCTGATGACGAGTACTCAGAGATGCTGAAGACACAACAGGACGCCTGTGAAGATGAATTCGAAAGTATAACATAGGATGTGACCATGGAGAACTGGATAATAACATCTTAGAAGTTAAATGATATAATGATACAAATTCCGTCCCAAGTGCAAACAATATGTTATGTGTCCTTGATCTTGTTCACCCACACTACATGTTTCGGCCACAGACGGCCATCATCACGTAGTAAAGAATAACAGCGGCACGCACACAGGAAGACTACACAGGATAACACTTATACAGTGTGGGAACAAGAACTAGCCGCTACAGCACTTTAGACATAGGGCGAGTAACCCTAACAATTTTAAATTTGGAATTTGGAGAAAAAAATTTAAAGGATTTTAAAATTAGAACTAAAGATTTTATAGTGCTACTACAGGTACGTCAGAATTAACGTGAGTGAAGTGACCTACATCCAGACAGATATCAACGAAGTAGATGTTGATAATAACAAGGAAAGTGTTTTAAATGTTAAATTTTGGGCTGAGTGCAATGTGACAGCAACGTGAGTGTTATACACCTGATGCTGTCCGTCTGTGGCCGAAACATGTAGTGCAGAGGAGCAAGATCAAGGACACATAATATATTGTTTGCACTTGGGACGGAATTTGTATCATTATATCATTTATCGTATAGAGTGCAACAGGATGCTTAAATATAATATTTTAGAATTTACTTGGTATGGATGGGTAAAATTTGCAAAAACACTCGTTATGTTGTTCTTTGTCAGTAAATATTTTGCGAACTCACTGTTGCAGAATTAACTCTAAATAACAGAGGCCATAGGGCAAAATCCGTGACGGCTGAAGAAGTAGAACAGACTCGGAACATAACCAATGAACAAGAGCCTAGCATTAAGAAAAAGCTTTTAGTGATTTTTTTAATTATGAAAAACAGAAACGCTTGGCTAACAATGTTTTAACTCTATTTCAAGCGAAGCAGAGTCTTCGTCACTTAATTACAACATAAATCTCTTGCGTCTGGCGTAATTTTACGTCTACATAGGCCTACTATTGTACAGAGTTCAGCTTCATACATAACCTAAAAAGGAATTCAAACAGAAATTTCGGTAGCTGTTTCTGAACCTAAGTTGTGAAAATTATTATACATATTGCAGTGTTTACCTATTTAAACGTCCGCTTTCATTACAGCTGCCAATTCATTGTCATTAATTAATTAAAATATTTTATTGGAATAGAAGAAATTAAGCAACGTCCCGCTTGATGAAACAAGGATTCGGTATTACGAATTACACAGCCCGGATTATTCACACGTAGTTCACTAAATCCATGAAGCAGAGCAGGCGACAGTAGCCGAAACGTCTTTTATGGAACCCATGGATTCATTACCATGTCCGCTAAATCCTATCCTGAAGTATTCGAGTCCAGTTGACACCCTCACAATCTAATTTTAGATCAGTTACCTGAAGGTGGCATTGTAAGGCCGATACATGTTGCAATTACATGTGATTTTAATGACATTTTAAAATAAAGTAGAAACTCAATGGTCTGTATAGCGTTACAGACGGAAATGAGTGGACTATAATAAATAGGTGTGATATTTCTTGAGAGTATAAATTACAAAGTTGGGGGAACGCGGTAACGTAGTTGGTTGAGGCACTATGCTACAAGCCGGAAGGTCGCTGGATCGAATCCCGATGAAGTGGATTTTTTCAATTGACCTAATCCTTCCAGCCGCNNNTGGCCCTGGTGTCGACTCAGCCTCTAACAGAAATGAGTACCAGGAATATTCTTGGTGGTAAAGGGCGGCCGGCGCGTAAGGCTAACAACCTTACCGCCATCTATGAGCCGATTGTCTAGAAAATGTGGGAATCTCAACATTTTACAACCCTATGGCCCTCCACGGCCTGTTACAGGGATACCCATTACTTTTTTTTTTATAAATTACGAAGGTATTCAGTGCGCAATTTTTCACCATTATTTTCAAACAAAGAAAGATAAATAACGAAGAGTTTCGTCTGATACTGTTACAGCAATTATAGGGCTAATATTGGCGAGAAGGGCAATAAGAAAGAAACAAGAAATATATGTAAAATTTTGGTTTGAAATCTACAAACACAAATACCGTGCAGGGAATTTTTAGAGTATATGGGACGATAATGTTCAGAAATATCTGGAGATATGGGACATGAAGTTGTGCATTAGACTACCTGAGGATAAGGTACAATGATAAAACTCGCTTATTCACTCATGGAGTTGAGCCCTTCTTGAGAAGCCTCAAATTACGCACCTACTCAAGAATTTCCCAGCATTTATGGAACCAGAATGTTCATTACCGTGTTCAAAAGAGCCTTGTCCTGGTCCTTCTCCTGAACCAGATCAATCCAATCCATACCATCCCTAAGATCCATTTTAATATTCTCCACACACCTACGCCTTGGTCTTCCCAGTGGTCTCTTTCCTTCTGGCTTTCCCATCAAGATCCTATATGCATTAAAACTGCATGGAAAAATGTAAATATTTCTGTAATTCTGTTTCATACTCTCCTTCACAAACGGGAATAATTGAACTTAATTTTCAACGTTGTTATTAGATACTGAACACGAGGTACGTAAGTCGGCTATGGAACTCTC